GTGCCTCCCTAGTAAATGTGAGGACAAGAGTTCAAGCCCCAGTACTGCAAAGAAAAAAAAAAAAAAGGGGATATGGTAAAATATTATTGTGGAGCTGGGGTTGTAGCTCAGTGGTAGAGCATTTGCCTAGCATGAGTTCCTTAGCACAAAATAAAATAAAAAAAATACTACTCTGCCACTTGGATTTTTTTTTCCTATTTAACAGTGTGTCTATTACAGTGCATTTAGAGAACCACATTAGCTTATTTAGAACTACCTAACTTAAGGGGAAAAAAGCTATCTTTTTTAAAATTGAAAAGTAAGTGTATAACAGAAAGGAAGTGACAGCTGGCTTAGACGAATATGAACTAATTACTATAAAAGGCTGATTATCTTCCCTCTTCCGGGAGAAATATTAGATGCAGAAGACACACCTTCTCTGTTTCTCTCTCTCATGGAAGAATGATTAAATTGGTTTAAACAGTAACTTGGGTCCTTGACAATTTTATCAGTTATACAATTAAAAAGCCAGCATGTATTAACCCCTAAACAACAGAAGTAAAGAAAAGATAGTCTTCTGCATTAAACACAGCGAGCTCTCTTTTAGACCAGCACACAGTCTTCGCCTCACGAGGGACGTTTCTTTTTTTGGTCCACTGTGCTTCTCAGATGAACACTTTCATCTGTGTCAAAGGGCTCCAAAATGGTCCTTACAATTTCAAATTGTCTTGAATGAACTTAGGTGAGGAGACAGACAAAACCATGAGAATTTAGTGGTGATTGGTCAAATGTAAAAATTTGGCTTGTATCTTAGTCTGTTCAAACTAACAACAAAATACCATACACTGGGTAGCTTATAAACAAGAGAAATTTCTCACAGTGCTGGATTCTGGGAAGTTCAAGATTAAGGTGCTGGCAGATTTGATGTCTGATGAGGACCTGCTTTCTGGCTTAAGGACATCTATTTTCTTTCTGTATACTCACATGGTGGAAGGAGCAAGGGACCTCCCTAAGATCTCTTTTGTCAGGGCCCTACTCCCATTCATGAGGTAATCACCTCCCAAAGGTCTCCTCTCCTAATACTACCATCTTGCTGGTTAGGATTTCAATGTATGAATGGTGAGAGGGCACACATAAATACTGAATTCACTGCATTCTGCTCTAGGGTTCTACAGAGAAAGAGAACCCATAGTATGCATGTAGACATACAGGGATATTTATTATAAGAGAATGGGTCATGAGATTATGGAGGCTGAGAAGTCCTACAATTTGTTGTCTTTAAAATGGAGAACCAAGACAATCTGGGATGTAGTTTCTGTCCAAATCCCAAGGTCAAAGAACCAGGGGAACCAGAAGTATATGTCCATGTCACGTCTGAAGGCCTGAAAACCAGGAGCTCAGATGTCTAAGGGCAGGAGAAATTGAATTTCCCAGCTACAAAAGAAAATTTGCCCTTCCTCTGCTTTTTTTTTATCCTGTTCCATCCTTCAACACATTGGCTAACAACCATGCACATGGGGGGAGGGCAGCTTCTTAATCTATCAATTTAAAAGCTAACCTCTGTCTTCTGGAAAGGCGGGGGAGAGAGAGAGAGAGAAAGAGATTGAGAAATCATGTCTTATTAGCTGTTTGGGTATCCTTTAGCACAGTTGTATTAACACATAAAAGACAGGTTTGATGGTGCACACCTATAATCCCAGTACTTGGGAGGCTGAGGAAGGAGGATTGTGGGTTTGAGGCCAGCCTGGGCCCTTCAACCTAAAGTTAAGCCAACCTGATTGCTGATATACGAAATGAGCTGCCTTCTTGCAGGCAGAAAAAAAATATATAGATAAGGAAATCTCTCCTTTTCTTTTTGGTCTTACTAGGGTTGGAACTCATGGCTTCATCCTTGTTAAGCAGGCACCCTACCACTTAAGCCATACCCAGGCTGACCTGGACTGTGATCCTCCTGTTTTCGTCTTTCTGTCCTTTCTGGGATGATAGGCATATGCCACCCCACCCAGATTCTTTTCCATTGAGATAGGTTCTTAAAAACTTTTTTGTCCAGGTTGGTCTCAAGCCACAATCCTCTTGATCTCAGCCTCCCAAGTAGCTAGTATTTTAAGCATGATTACTAGCACACAACTTGGATATTTCTTATATACAGATAAGACTGAAGACAGTTCCCACAGACATACAACATACAAGACTAAAGGCAAGTAAACAGAAGACAAGAGATGATGTTAAAAGTCAAATCCCACCAGAGTACACCAAAATCTAATCAGAACCTAAAAATTTCAAATAATAACCCTAACACTGAGGGCCTGAGGGTAGAGCTCAGTGGTAGTGTCCTGGCCTGGCCTATTTGAGACCCAGGGTCCCATAAGCACCACAGAAACAAAACAAAACCAAAACAGATATTTAAGGGTCAAATGATACAGAGTTGTGTCATTTACATTACTATGTGACCATTCATTGACTTCAGGACTGGGAGACTCTTTATTGACCATCTTTTTTTTTTTTTTTTCCATTTTTCTTTTATTATTCATATGTGCATATAAGGCTTGGTTCATTTCTCCCCCCTGCCCCCACCCCCTCCCTTACCACCCACTCCGCCCCCTCCCTCTCCCCCCCAATACCCAGCAGAAACTATTTTGCCCTTATTTCTAATTTTGTTTGACCATCTCTTTTAATAAAGAAAATGAGACTAAAAAAGACTAAGTGACTTGATCAAGGTCACACAGAACAGGCTAGAACCTAACTCCTTAGTGAATATACTTATATTACTACAAAAAATACATGTAAATCTGCCTACCAAGCATGAAGCCCTGAGTTCAAGCCCTAGGACTACCAAAACATACATGTAAACAAAGATAAATAGTATGTATGAAGGACATTGAATTAGCAAGCTGAAAGAAGGTGATGCAGGCTGGCAGGTAGCCACAGGCCAAGGATGGAGAGGCCAGCTGGGGGTTGCAAAAACTCCTGGGTCCAATGTCCTAAAAGTCCAAAGCAGGAACAAGGCAAGGCAGTTGTGGCATGTCAAGAACAAAGCATTTTCTCTTTCAGTCACTCTGCCAAGCCAGGATAGGGTTCTGCCTACCTCAAAGGCAAGCGTGAGCTTAGAGCCTGAGGGAAAGAGCAATCCTTTTGGTAGGTTAGAAGAACTCTGCTTGTTAAGTCTCGATTTATAGGTAACCAACCCCATGATGGTATTAGTTAATGACTGACTGCTGTTTTTTTCAAGCTACTGTCAGGGTATATTCCTAATTAATTTCACTCAAAACAGTAGTGCTTAACCCTAACTGTATGTTAGAATCATCTGGGGAGCTTAGAAAAAATACTGATGCCAGGACTCTACCTCAATGAAATCCTGCTTCAATTGGTCTAAGTTCTAAAGCATTGGTATACTTAAAAAACTCCCCAGGAGATTTTAAGAGGTAGCCCAGGTTGGAACCACTCATTTAAAAGCATCAGGGAAAGTTTCAATCAACTAATCAATAGTTTTAAACAGGATTGTTTTCTTCCCATCCAGCAATGTGAGTCATTAAAAACTAATGAAATAATTTGCAGGACACACTGTCTTCACAGGACTTTCTTAGTACTCATTTTTACTATGAAAAGTCAACATATGGCTGAATTCAACAGTAAATGCCAAACTGATGGTTTTGTTGAAATTTCTTACTGTCATTATCTTTGACCAAAACAATCACAAAGATTTGGTACAGTAATCACAACCCCCATGACCTTTATGGTCAAGGATCTAGGCAGCCCACTAAAGCCTACTTACAGAAAAAAATTTCAGGACATTTTGTTGCCATGGGACTTTGAGTGTGTGTGCTATGGAACTCCAACAATAAAACCAGCGTGGGCTGGAATAATTAGTAATGTGGAACTCTTTCCTCTTTGGGACCCTCTTCTTTTTACTTGAGTAGAAGGTTAAAAGCATTACCTCCTTTTTCTTATATCTGACTTCTTGTGTTTTTTTTCTTCTAAGGCATCAGAGAAGGCAGGGGATGGAAAAAGACTCACTAACTTGCAGAATTGGGAATGTAATAAAAAGTAATTAGTTCAACCACCACTGGAGACCAAGGTGTCCCCCAAATCACATAACTGGCGCATGGGACTTTGTTCCCCATTTTCTTTAGACGCCACTTGGCCAGCAGCTTACTTTCGTCAGGTGGTACCTCTCTTCCACTTCATTGACTCCCAGCATGAAGTCTTCTCATGCCCATCCTGCTTAATTGGGACAATGGCACCTATATTTTCCTCGGGCCTGTGCTGCTCTTTTCTATTTTCTATTGTTACATTCTCCTCCCCACTGATGTGCATTTACTGAATGCTTGCAGTTGTCAAATATCACCAGATTCTAAAGGACATGCCGAAACAGAAGCCATCTCTGCGCCGCAGAGATCCAGCTGGGGATGGAGTGCCGCAACCTGGCTCACTTCCTGGCTCGGTTCAGTTTCTGTGGGCGCCCAGGGCCTCGGGGAAGTACCGTGGGGAGGAGGGGATGTCGGGCTGGATTCAGAGAACCCGCCAGTCTTTCAGGGGCTAATGGAAGAAATAAGTAGCCCGCCCGCGTGGAAGGAGGGTACCCATGAGTGGGCCTCTGCCCCTAGGACCGCGCGGAGGAGGGCGACCAGCCAGTCTAACCTGATTCAGCCAGGCTCAGGGTCCGCCCGAGGTCGCCGTGAGCCGGATGATTGGCACGGCCCGTGAGGAGCAGGGACAGAAGGAGGAGAAGGTGGACGAAAAGCCCGGGGGAGGAGCTGGAGGAGCAGGCGACGCCAACTGAAAGCAAACAGAGGATTGGGAAGCGACAAGGAGGGGGAGGAGCCTGGAAGAAGGGGGCGTGTCCGGAGGCGGAGACGGAGTCTCTAGGGAGGGTCCAGAGGCGGAGCTGGAGAGTTAGGGCCGCGCTCAGGGGCGGAGCCTGAGGGAGTCAGGGGAGGAGCGACGGGAAGGGGTGGAGCCGGAGGCTCGGGGGCGGAGCCAGGGAAGGGGAGGAGCCGGGGGAGAGGAGGCGCCGGGCGAAGAGTCCTCCAAGGCCGTCGCCGCTGCCGCCTGGGAGCGTTCTAGCTGGGCGGGTCTGGCCCCCGAGGTTGCTCCTCGACCCTGCAAGACCCCTGCCGCGTCAGAGACGCGGTTTTTGGCTGTCGCGGTTGACTAGGACGTCCGAGGTGCCTCCCCGCGGGCCGCCGTTGCCGCCGCCACTGCTGGGCCCCGGGACCGCCGCCTCCCTGTGCGCGCGGGGCCGGCATGGAGCTCTTCCAAGCCAAGGACCACTACATCCTGCAGCACGGCGAGCGCGCGCTGTGGTGCAGCCGCCGCGACGGTGGCCTGCAGCTCCGACCCGGTGAGGCGCGCGGCGCGGGCTGGGACGCCCAGGGCCGGGCGGGACGGAGGGGGCGCGGCTGGGTCCCTCGGCGGGAGCAGCCGCCGGCGGGCTGCGCGCCGGCTGTCGGTCTGTCCCGTCTCCCGCCGCCGCGGCTTCTCCCCGCGCGCACCCCTGCCCTCCGCGGAGAAGAAAGGCCAGCGACCCTTGGCCGGAGCGCGCGTCCACCCTGAGGTCAGGGTCAGGGTCGGGGTTCCGGGGAGCCTGGACGGGGGTCAGCCTTACCGGAAAGTCCCCCGTAGGTCGAGGCCTCCATCTGGAAGAGGCGCTTGCAGTCTTTCGCGGGAATCCTGAGTTCGAAAATTCCACCCAGTTCAGTGGAACCTTCTGCGGGAACTCTCCCTGTTGACAGCCATGTGTTCCCTGATTGTTGAAGTGCGACTTCGCGATGGTTAACTCCCAGACACTGATCTAAAGCACTTGTCTTTGGTTTTAATGTTACGATTCAACTGTATGGTTAATGTTAAAGTCTTACTATTTTTTTGTGCGGCTCATGTGTGGATGTCGCTAAGCTGTTAAGAGAGGCCCAAGACCGCAGCTGTCAGTTTGCCTTAGGAAAATTTGCTTGCTTTGAGGTCCTGCCCTCAGGGAGCAGACAGTCCAGTTTCATGTCCTGCTTTAGCTTCCAGCCTTTTTTCTTCTTCACTCAACATCCTTTCGCCTTAGGAAAAGCCAGAGGACAAAACTTTAAAGAAATAGCCAACAGCATTTGAAATTTTCCTTGTAGTTCTTGTATGCATCTAGACGAAGGAATTACTTGGTGTGAATTGAAAAGTCTAGTGTTCAAATGAGCTTTTCTAGTCAGCTTTTCACCACTTACAGGATAGTTTCCAAGGACAGGCCTCTTAATGTTATTCCCAGTTCCCACAATAACCTTACAGAGCAGGTGGGGACATCCTCTTTTTTCAGGCAAGGAGAAAGGTTTGAGAGGTTCCAGAGAGGCCCCGGGACACTGATATGGGGCAGCTCTGTGACCCCCCCAGAAGACCAAGGCAGGCCCCATTGCTTTCTTTTTCTTTTTTGGTGGTGCTGAGGTTTGAACTCAGGGCCTCAACGCTTGCTTGCTAAGCAGGCGCTCTACCACTTGAACCACTCCACCAACCCTTTTTTGTGATGGGTATTTTCAGGATAGGGTCTCCAGAACTATTCACTATTTTCCCTGGCTGGCCATCAAACTGCAATCCTCCTGATCTCTGCCTCCTGAGTAGCTAGGATTACAGGTATGAGCCTCCAGTGCCCAGCCCTACTGCTTTCTTATGAAGACCTGCTAGTTGCTTTGCTAGAACGATGAAGAACTTATTTTTTTCTAGGCCCTGGCTGTTATTTTCTTGCTATTACATTTTATTTCCTGTTTTCAGAATGGAGGAGAAACTACTGAGTCCATATGAGGTTCCTGATGCTCTTTGGAGAGGACCTTGTAGATAGGTTAATTTTGGCCAGCTTCCTGTCATTTTCTTCTCTTTTTCTTGAATTGACATTTTACCCATACCACCCCGCCAAAAAAAAAAAAAGTTTGGGTTAGGTTCAGTGCAGTTTGAAGTAGGTTGTAAAATTCCTAGGCTGTCAGAAGAGCCAACTCCTTGGAGATGGAATGCTTAGACCTTTAGAGTTGGATGGAAGTTGAGGTGATCACCAGCTCACCTGATGGAAGTTGAGGTGATTACCAGCTCACCTGACAGGACAAACTTTTCTACGTTCAGTTTCTTACTATAAAGTGGAACCTGGGCCTAGATTTCAGATTAGGCCCTGTGGTTTTGATTGCTGTTTATTTATCCAAAGTCTATATCAAAAGGCTCATTTAGAACTTATTTTTCCCTGAATAAAACGGATGTAGCCTTTGCATTTAAGTTGATCTCACTTCTTAGAATATAGCCCACCATAGACTAAAGGAGACCAAAAATGTAGAGGAAGGAAGAGGTCAGTATGTTTCAGAAGAAACAGCCTGCTTTGATCTTTGGGTGTTCCAGTGTAGTCAGTAAATAAAGAAACCCTTCTTTTACCAAGTAGTTTATCCTGCTCAGTACTCAATGTCTTTTCTAAGTATGGCTATTTAATAATGGTAGTAAATTGACTAAGTGTATTTCAGATCTGTTTCTATAGATAGAATTATTTAAAATTTTCTTTATTTCATTGGACTTTCCCCTCCTTTTATGGCCAGTTTTGCTGTCATTTGTAGTGACAGCATTTAAAGTCTTTTGTTGTTTTCTGTTGGTTATTCAACTGGACAGATTAGTGACAGAGTCCTTTACTTTACTGCAGGGTAGTAATTATAAGACCAAAAAAAGCTTGTGGGCATTGTAATTTTTTTTTTTTACATATGGCTATTAAACAACCTACAACAGGAGTATTCTTTTTCCTAGAGATATCAGAAGACTAAGTGTTGATGATATTTAAGGTTAAAATGACCATAACTTGGAATGGCTTTACTGTCAGCCCTTTTCCTGAATAGTTCATTATATAAGACTCAACTTCAAGGCCATCCCCATCCTGTGCTCACCCAACCCTCATTCCTGGGACAGAATTATTGGCTACCTTTATTGTTTCCCCAGATATTTTCTAGACTTAGTACATACTTTAACTATAGCTCTTTTTTCACTGTATTATATAACAATAGTCTCCCTGCTTCTCCAGTGGATTCCCTAAAGCAAGGACCCTACTTTACTCACTTAGCTTGGTGTCTGGGCTTTGAGTGCTTAGAACACAGAAGGCAGTTTTTGTTGAGTTGAACTGAGTTAAATATAAGTACAAGTTTTCTCTCAGTTCAGTCATTGCCTTAAAAATAGGATGCTGTGTTATGCCTATTACTCATTTTAGACCCTGTTTTGAATATCTTTTAACTGGAGTGGAAAATCTCTGTCCAGCTGGATGAGGAAATATGAGGAAAGGATGAGTTCCACTTGTGTTTTTTTTCCCATCTGATGTAGTGTCATTTAAAAACAGTTTTGGGGGGTCTAGGGCATAGCTTAAGTGGTATAATGCCTGCCGTGCAAGTTTGAGGCCCTCAGCTCAAACCTCAGTACTGCAAAACAAGACAAAAATACAATATCAACAACAAAAAAAATCTAATTTTTTTGTAATGGTGTTGCTTATGTTCTTCTTTAGCATTGTTTAATTTCTTTTCCAGGTTTTTTTCTTCTAGCCAAAAACTGAGTATTGTTATTTTTTGGTGTTTACATTTTTTAAAAAGGTAGTGAGTAGTCTGTACTTATGTAGAATATGGTTTTTTGATAGATCATGTCTATTTCAAGATAATGATCACCAAAGAAGAATATTTGGATTGTTTTAATTTCTTCCAGGAAAGTGATAAAGCCTACTCTCAGTAATCTCCTGAGAGTAGAGTCTAATGCCTGAGAATAAGAATTGTAATTTAAGGACTTAAGAAGAAATACAATACAATCCACTTTTGGGGAATGGTGATATGGTCTTATCTCTTTGGTTTTAAAATTGCTTTCACTAGTCCTGTGGCTTTGTCTGCTATGGCAGTGTTATATAATTTACTGCTGTGTGTTGCCTCATTCTATTCTGAGACCGAGTGACTACAAAAGATCTCAAAGCACCTGTCACACACACATTAATAAGCATATAAACTATATATAGAAAGGTAATGCCCTAAATGATGAATACCAGTGGACATTTTTTCTTTCTTTCTTTTTTTGGAGGGGATACTAGCTATCAGAATTTGTAGAAACAAAAAGTTTTCTTGTTCTTTTTAGAGTTGTTTTGATATAAAATTATTTTTGCTAGGCATATGAAGTTTACCTTTTTAATGAGAAACTATAGTTATGGAATTGAAATCCAAATGGAATATTTGAGGAATTTTTTTTATGGGACTTTGTTTATTTAGTTTTGTATCATTTGGTTTTACTTTTTAAAAAAGATTTTTGGCCCTTGCCTTAAAAAAAAAAAAAAATGTAGCCTGGCACATGCCTGTAATCCCAGCACTCAGGGAGGAGGCCGAGACAAGAGAATCAAGAATTTGAGGTCAGCTGGGATCACATAATGAGACCCTGTCTCAAAAATAAAAATCATATTTGCTTAAAATTCACATATTACCATGACAAAATGTAAGGGCAACTTAGTTTAAAAATTCATTATGAAATATATTCTAAAATCTTTCTAACTGTTTTGTTGTTGAATCACCAGGTTTCTTCCTAGTATCTTTGGTCTTCAGTTTCTTTGAAAAGACTTACCAGTTCTATATCCTGTCCTACTTTTTGACCCCATATTTTATATTACTAACAGGATAGCAGTTGGGTTGAATGGGTCTGTATGTTTTATTTTTATTCATGTACATATTGTATACATGTACACTTTTCTATTTTAAAATACAAAAGGCTTATCTTTGTAGTCCTGCCCCAACAGTTTGGCTTAAAGAAAAAAAAGGGTCTTTTTAAGGTGACTAACAGTTTTTGGAGTGAGGTTTTACGATCAAGGGGTGTTTTTGTACATATTTTGTTATCTACATCACCAACTGAAAGTAATACTAGCTAATAATAGCAGCTTGTATTTGTTGAGCATTTTTCTGAATGTGACATTGTTCTAAGCCCCTTGTAGATATTTCATTTCACCCCCACATTAAACCTCAGAAGGAGTGTTTCATTATTAACCTCATGTTTTAGATGAGGAAGTCAAGGCATTGAGAAGTAATTTGTCCCAATTCTCAAAGTAAGAGGGAGCATCAGGCTTCTAATCAGTATATGGCTGTAAACCTATGTATTTTCCTCAGTACTGACACAGATGTTTTAGAACCTACTCTTGTCCTCAAAGTTACAGGATTTATATTTATGGGTTAACAGCTGAAATGTGTCTATACTTACCATTATAATCATTGTAGTTTAACCTACATATGACTCGGATAGCACCTCCAAATGTCAAAGCCAGCATGTAGAAAAAAAGGGTAAGTATAGGATGAAAAGGTTGTTAATGGAATTTCTGGTTTGTCCTTTGACCCTAGGCTTGCC